GAAGACATTTTTATCCCTTGATGGGGATTCAGAGGTTTGAGCTTACATCTTGAGCTTTGACCTTAAAGTCTTGTGTTCAGCAACTTGTCCAGTTACCATTAGTGTTTAGGAAAAGCATCAAGTGAATGACCTGACAGAGGAATCACTCCAATCCTCCCATGTTTCTGTCTTGTTTCTGTACTTTGTGTGAAGGAAGGAAAAATAGTCCCTTTCTTCCCAATTCCCTTTCTTTTGCAAGAGCAACACTATTACTCTTCTTGGAAATTGTCATGTTACTTGCAGATTTAGCTGCTTCAAGGATAGCTTTTTTAATCAATGACCGTTCTAGCCATTGGGCATTCTCCTACTCCAGCTTGAGAAGTAACTATAATTGCAATAGAAATTTAAGCCTCAGCATCCTATTTATTCATAAAACCGAAGAGATGTTGCACAGTCTAGAAACAAAATGCATTATACAAATACATGGATGCTAGCATGAAATGACTTAGCACCTGCTATTATTGAACCTTCAAATGCTAATCCAGCAGTCTAGAGGGAAGGAGGCTACAGGGGGAAAGTGGGCAAGGTTTTTTTTTTCTCAAAGATCTTCAGTGAAATGCTTTAGAGGAAAAAAAACATTTTTATTCTGTAGTTCATGACAAAGATCTCACACTTGCTCTCCTTCCTCTTCAGGATCGTGGGAGTCAAATGGATATACTGCAAGTTCTGAGATAGCTGATGAGCCCAGTGTTCCCCTGAGTCCTTCCAACAGCCTTAACATCCGCAATCTCCAGCTGTCTGAGCGAGACCCTCCCCAGCATACCCGCCGTTATCCTCCTAATTTCCATCATGGCCGGCCCTTCCGTGCTGCCTACCGCAAAACTTACCGAGGCAGCCCCTCAGACCGCAAGGAATGGGGACCTAGCACTAATGGCCACCACTGTGCTCCGGAGGGGCTTTCCAATGGGCGATGGCAGCATCGACGCCGTGGCTATTCTGACTCACCCTCCCCATTGTCTTCCCCCGAATTGGAACGAGTCAGCACTATCAAAGCCAGTGAGAAGCCCACTGTTACATCTAATGCCTCCAGTGTAACCACTGAGGAATCTGAGAAGGAAACATGGTCGCTCTTTCGGCCCCTTCCTGCTTTCCCAGTTGATAGCAGCAGTGCCAGGATCATTCCCAAGATCTCTTATGCCAGCAAGCTGAAAGAGAACTTGGATCAACCAGGCAAAGCCTGTCATGTTCCAGCCTCAGCTGTCCGCACCACTAATAGCCTCCCCAACTGTGTCTTGGCGCCACCCCCCAGCAGTCCCCCGCCAACCGACAGCAGTCGGCGGCAGCACCTGGGAGCCATCTTCCAAAATGAGTGGGGCCTCTCCTTTATCAATGAGCCAGGAGCCGGGCATGGAGGGGGTGGTGGAACGGCACCAGTCAAGGAGATAGAAGATGCAAATGCTGAAGCATGTTGGGAAAACATGGAAGCCAACGACTGGCAGGCTGCAAGAAATTATCATTTGGAAGGTAAGATAGCCACAAGAGTACAGTACTGCACAGGGAGGGGAATGTCTGCATATTTTGAAGCTGTTATTCTATAACTAGCAGAATATACTGAGGAACTTTCATTGGAAAATTATGAGAGGGCAGTCATATTTCAGGTGCACTGAGACCAGCTGTTGCAATTAGTGGAAGCAGGAGGCACGGATAATATTATCTATTGCCCTCAAAGAAACAGAGAAGGGTAGTGAGTAGAGAAAATCAACTTAGTATTTCCTAAACTTCACCTCATGTTTATCCGGGAAGGGTATGATGCCCCTCTGGACCAGTTTTGAATTAACTGGGTTTCAAAAGAAGCCTATCCCTTCCCTTTAACAGCTTTCTTGACAGGGAGAAGCTTTTGTGTTTCATTAAGGGCCATTCACCTTTTACTTCCAATTATTTGAGTATTACCACAAACTGCAGCATTTAATTTTAGCTGAGTCAGAGTTTGAAGATTTTTTTGTTAAATAATGCAGAGGGGTGGGTATGTGGTTGCTGCACATCTGGAGTAGTTTTTCTCAGTGTAGTTAAAGTTTAGAAACTTCTTGTTGGACTTAAGGACAATCAGAGAGGCACAGGGTATTCTTTAGAAGCCAAGTACTATTGCATTTTATTTCTAATCTTTTTTTCCTCTCTCCCGATACAGAGTGGAGCCATATATGGGAGCTACACAGTCAAGGTAAGCAATGAAAGATCTCTCCTTTAGAATTCTAGGTCAAATGAACTTACATTGTGAGATAGTGGTGCACCTAAGCTAGTAGTGCCTACTCTAGTTACATAGGCAGCTATTTTTAGCTTGAATGGGGATTACATGGGGGCTGTGTTTTCATACTCCTGAAGGTAGTTGTAGTTGAAGTTAAGGATTGTATTTTGGGAATAGTCCCTCTAGTGGTTAAAGGTTTGCAGGAGGGTACAATTACATGAAATAAAGGTTTGCAGGTGGGAAGTAAATTGGAGGAGTGTTGAGGAATCCTAGGAGAAGGATGCTGCTCCAAGGATTGTGGGAGTGTGATTTTTAGCAAAAACAGCCTTCCGCCATTGGATGGCCTTTTATATACTGGAATGACCATGGCCATGCTGGCTGGGATTCTGGGAGTCCTAATTTTGGAGAGCACCAAGTTGGGCAGAGCTGATTGTGAACATCATTTGAGGCAAGCTTAAATTTCCCAGTAAGTGTGTCTATTCCACAACAACCTCATAGCCATCTCAGAATAATAGTACTGTATATCGGTTTGCCAAAGTGGTGTAAATTGCACATTTAAAAGGATATCTCCCTTTGGCGGTTTTTAAAACATGTTGCCTCAGTTGTGCACGAGCACATATATTCTATTCTTTGAAGCCATAATTGCAAGTTGGTGCTGATTTCATTCTAGGTGTCTATCAGATTGAAGCACTGAATCATGCCTATAAAATGCTTCCAACCCCCCGTTCATGGCGTGGAGAATTTGGTGAAAGTTAACATTTGACATGCTACTTAACAGTAGTCATTAGTCATTACTCTCTTAGATTCAAAAGTTAGCCCAATGCATTCTCTCTGTGCAGGAGCAAATAAAGGGAATACAGACCTGAAGGACACTGTCTGGGAAACAAGGTTTATTTCTGTTTGCATGAGGCTGGGGGCTCTTGTTCCTTTTTTGCCTGCTACAATGTCCAAAACGTTTTTGCCCAATGGCAGATAAATTCACACAGGCACAAAAAGGAACAACAGTGAAATTATGTCTCATCATCAGGTAAGAACAACAGAGTAATGCTCTTCTAATTTTGTACCTGAGACTCTACTTTTATGGATAATTGTATACATTGCAGCAAATATGTACTAAGGATACCTTTTAAGCATCCATTTATTTTGGAAAGAGAGTATATCTTGCAGACAGCATAGACCTGGGAGTTTGTGTGCTATTCATGGAGCATCTGTCTTTAAAGATATACTTTTCACCACATTCTCCATTTTTATCTTTTGTTCTAGCTCCTAGCAGAGTGATGGTCTACTCGGAAACCTTGGATGGGAAGGGTTAATTCCAAGAACATCCAGGGGAAGCACCGCTAAGATATGGGGGATGTATGGGGAGAGGCAAGGCAACCCACCCTACCCCCTTGAAGATTGGAGCAGTCCAGGCATCTTGAAAGGGGAAGCTATGCCACCTGCCTACCTCCCTTCCCTTGCTGTTTTAGCCTAAATTGTCCTGGGTGAGGCTCATGCCTCACCCATTCCCCACCATCTCTCTCTATCTCTGACTCAATGCTCTGGTTTTTAATTTCTTCACATGGTTTTTAATTTCTCTGGATTCCCCTGAAAATAAAGGCAAAAAAAGAATTTATTTAAATTCATTTCTCTTGCCATATCGGTGTCTTACTTCTTAGCACAGGGAGAGCTTTCACATTCTGTCACCTGCATGAGGAAATGGTGGTGAGACTGGCTGTGCTAAAGGGGACATGAACAAGGGTATTTTGGAAGAAGGGATGAAAACTTTTCATGAGTTCTTGAAACCACACAGATACTATCTTGGGAGTTTTATTAGATGAGAAATGCTCAGCTAAGAAATCATCCAATTGTAATTTCTTAATTTGGCTTCAATAATACTCAAACTAGTACAGTTCAAATAGCATTTAACTGTCATGGAAGTTATGTGAGTCCCTTCCTGGCTTTTTCCTTAGGATTCTAATATGTTTAGTAAGTTGTAGGGCTCACTTTAGTTCTGAGGAGGGAAAATTTAAAATAGCAGTTTGGGGGATATATGAAAGGAATCCCTTGCTGTTGCTTGCCTTCGTTTATTTGGCCAGAATAAAGCAGCCTGCTAGTGCAGCAGAGGTTGGTGCCTTTTTAGACTTCTCCACAGAAAGACAACCATTTGGCCCTATTGTTCGAGGTAATACCATATAATCTAATCAGCTACAGGATCTGGAACATCTTAATGTAAACTGGAGCCTTGCTTCTTTTAAGTGTTACTATTATGCTTATTATTAAAATAGTGGTCTTGATCTCACTTAAAAATGAAAACAGTTGACTCTCCCAAGTAACCAAGAGAAGTGATTGAATAAAAAGAAGTAAATCCTATTTCCCAGCCTAGGAGGAAAGGGCTGTAGGCTACTCGAAATGACTGGTTGTTCGAGAAAAATAACGGAGGATGCACGGGTAAAACGAACGACTTCTAACAGTTACCTCAAACTATTTTTTTCACGGTGGAGCCTGGAATCCCTTAAATGAGCGCGGTAGCCCTCAGTCAAAATGGCTCTCAAAAAGTACAGTACTCCAGTAATGGGGGAGGAGGAAGATCTCCGCGTCTCGGAAGATACGATGCTCCCGAGAACCTGTTCCGGAGAGGGGCGTGAGCATCCGCGAATCCACGTATCTGGGAGAGGGGGCAGCGTTTCCAAGGAGAGAGAATCGTCTGCGCGGGGCGCGTGCGTACTTCATAACATGTTTGCGAATGCAGCTACGTCACCTCAAAGCGACCTTCACTGACGACCAGGAGCTACGGCGGCGCGCGGGAAAGTGTCGTTTTCACATGTGCGCTAAAGTATCTAATAGGATTGCCGCGCAAAATCAATCAGCGGCGCAGTTTCCTCTTAAAGGGACAGTAGTGTCCTCGATCGCAGGCGGCCTCCATTAAGCGGGAAGGTGCCTCAGCTGCGGTTTGGAGGGTAGGAGAGAAGGAAAGGGGACGGAGGTAAGACGAGGCTATTGCTTTGATGCTGTAGGCCATCCTTCTCTTTCTTCTCTCCTCCCGCCAGCTGTTCCTTTTCTCATTGCAACCCTTCCAGAATATGCCTTTTGTTCAGATTCATTGGTTCTTAAGCACTAATTACAAATTCTTTAGCTGCCGTAGACAGCCCATTGTTGATTTGAGTACAGTAGCTGAAAGCTGGCAGAGGCATTCGAGCGGCGGTATCAGGACAAGCTTTGAGGCGTAAGTTCAAGGCCCTTTTCCGAAAAATGAACCGGTGGGCTCCAACTACAGGAGTTTACCAGTAGTGCCTAAATCTTGTGATATGGTTAGATGAGAGTGCTGGGAAGATTCAGAATCCCTGTGAATTAACTGGAGAGCTTTAGGTCGGGCATTATTTCTCAGCTAGGTCTACCTCAGAGTCTTATTGGGAAAATAAAAGAATTACATGTCCTTCGCTGGGCCCCAATGAGGAAAACTTAGATATAATGCATGCGTAAGAAAAAAAAAGTCTGATCACATGTAAAGTTAAGAAACTATAGCCAGCCTGGCACATAGAGAACCAAGCAACAATACAAACTTTTAACATAAGCTCTTTCTGCATCCATACTATGGTTGTATCCCATGCATGAGTCATGACAAAAAAACCTTTGTATTTCATTTCCCCCCCAATTTTTAGAATTTAGAACATGCTCGTCTCTATTGCCCCTTCCCATTACTGTATACCCACTCATAATTAAAACATTCTCCTAATGGACAAAAGTGCTGCAAATCTGATATAAACAGGGCTTGGGAGGGGGAGCTTTTTCCCAGCAAAATAATGACCTATTCCCCTTTTCTCTTACATGCACCATTTCCCTTGCAGGTTATACCCAGTATAATCTCTGCATTTTTTGCTGAATATAGGCCATCTCCCACTACTATACTAGCTTTCTACCTCTGGGATCGATGTCCTTGATTATCATGATACATTATTCCTCACAGCAGCTGTTCTTCACTCCATCCCATGCATGAAGAGTGTAGATATCTCAGGAGATATAAAACACACACGCACACACTAGTTTAACTATGCAATCTCACGCTCACTCCTTGTCCTAGAGAAAGACCTGGCTTTAGTTTTTAATAGCCTTTCTGAATGGTTCCGGCAAGTTATACAAGACTGGTAGATGTAAGGAAATAAATGGCCATAAATAATCCTTAAAAGACAAGTACCGTGTATTTTTTTGTCCAAGACTATTGGTTTACAGTTCTTCAAATTTTCAGGCTGAGATAGAGGGGAAGTGGTGGGGAAAAGTACACTTTGTTAGGATGCAGCAATCTGCCTCAGACTATTGTTCTATTAACATGGGGAACAATAAGCTAATTGTAGCTCATGACTGTATAAGGAAATATATTTTCTGTTTTCTATATGCCTGTTTTTCAGATCTAATTTTTCTTGATCTCAACAAAGAAATGGTGTTAAACCAGGACAAAACACATGGAACAGTTAATTACTGACCCTTATAGCATCTGCATACATGCCATATCATGGCATTTAATATACAGAAATGTGAAGTAGAATGCTATAGATATAGCAGGTTTACACTGGACCCCCCTCCCCACTCCCACGCCCTGGACAACTGGGCCATGTTAGTAGATGAACTGTAATATTCTTATCCTACAATTTGGGGATCTGTGCTTGCATCTGGAGTTAGGGGACATAATGGCCTGGTGAAATACAAAGTTTCTGAGCAAATGACATCACTTTCAACAGTTCATATGCATGCTTATAAACAGCCCCATTTTCATAACAGCGATTACTTTATGAACCATATCTTTTCCACAATATTTTCGCTTGGTTTTGGTATTAAAACATTTATATACTGCCTTTACGGAACATTTAAACCAAGCACAGTTGACTTCATCTCTTTATCATCAAAACATTTTTTAAATCTTTCTTGCATGCTTCAACTTTATACAACATCTTGCTTTAATCAGATTTGGCAAGAAAGATGGGATAAAATAAATAACACTCCCAAAAGCTTATAAATTTGTTGTGATCTGTGTCTTGGTTAGTTAAAATATGGCCTGACATTTTAAAATGTAGAGAAGCTACAAAAATACTATAAACATAATCCCCAATCCTAATCCATGTAACAGCATTTCTGCAAACCTAATAGAATTGTTTCCTTTTCTTTCCTTTCTAGTTAGAAAGCACCAGAGTGGGGGTCTCAAACTCAAATGAATAGGGTCACATTATATAAAATGTGCTAATTAATAGGCCTCATTCATACACGTGCAAAAATGCAACAAGTATTAAATATTAAAATGTATTAATCAATTATAACACTTTAATAATTAAAATGGTTAATAAAAACAAAAATATGTTGCCTACTGTAAAACAGTAAAATATTGTATTGCCATGACTGCAATCTCCAACCTGTTTGCTGTCCTACACCTCGGTGCTGTTGTTTCTGTGCACCTCCCTGGTGCCAACCAGCACAATTGACAACATCACTGGCAGTGTTCGTTCTGCACACCTGTATGGTCATCACATGCCAGCACAGTGAGCACACACAAGACAAGGGAGCAGGGCAGGACAGCAGCAGTGGACAGCAACAGCCTGCAGAGCTGCTTGGCAGGATTTGGGCTCTGGCAGCAACTTAAATTTTTGAGCTGTTGTGGATCACACATGATAGTGCAGCACTCGAGCTTGAGACAAGACAGCAAGGCAGGATAGGCTCTGGCAACGCCTTGTAGTTTTGAGCTATAACAGGCCACAGGAAAAAAAATTCAGTGGGCCCCATGTTTGAGAACCTGCACCAATTATAGGGTAATTATTGTAAAAGCTGTATTTCTGCCATCTAAACTTGCTACAAAAGTGGCACAGTTGATAAAACCTCCTAGCTGCATGCTAACATTAATATCCTCAGTAAATAGCTAATACCCTGACTTAATAGTTCCCCTAGTTATTTTTTAACAAAGTAATATAGCAAGAGAATTAGTGTAGGGTATTTCTTAAGAGACCAAACTATAAATCAGGTTCCTGGTTTGATTATGCCTGTACTGTTGATTTACTAGATTTTTTTTTTTTTTTGCAAGCTATTTGTTCTCAGCCTCAGTATCTTCACTAATTAGCTCACAGTTGTAACTATTAAAGCTGTTTGTTTGCCTGAAAGAACTATCCAAGTAGGTACGTGAAGTTCAGTTTCTGCACCTTGGATGTTACAATGTTCATGATGGGCATTTATATACAACAAAGATAACAATATGCTAACAAGTCACATAACTGAATTAGGCATTTAAAAAAGGTAAAAGGAGGGACTCCGTAACTTTTTGTCAGGGATTGATTAGAAAACAGGCTGTCCCTGAGAAATACAATTGGAATAATAACATATAGAAAAATATCTAGTACGTCCTTAGCATTTAAACCAGGGCTGACAGCCTTTTTTCCAAAGCTGCATTTCTTTAAGGGCTGCAATTTAGTGAAAGATGGGGCATTCCTTTTCCACCCTGCCAAGTGGGCTGCCAGTGAAATGTTATGTTTTGTTTTAAGAGATCTTTGAAGATTATATTGCATCTGGCCCTAGAACCATAAGTTGCTTACCGTATTGTTGATTTAAACTACTTGATCTGTCCCCATGCTTTCTACCCTTCCATTCTAGGATATACTATTTTTGCCTATCTCCATTTTCCCTATTGTGCTTTCACATTCTCAAGATTGTCTTTTAGTGATTAGGGAATGATTATGAGATTAAATGGCGATCAGATCAGGGTTCTTTGTCATCCCCACAAGCATGCAGAAGATCTTTGCCTTTATTTAAACTGGTATCCGATATTAATAAGGTCCCAAAATTACGACTTTGTAACTGGATTCATACTGCTCTAAGCCATGCTTTGGTTTTTGAATAATTTGCAACTGGTTTAGTTCATCATAGTCAAGTAAGCCATAAACCATGGTTTACCAACCACAGTAGCTAGTTTCAAACATGGTAAGCTATATTCAAACAATACAGAGCCTACCAGATCTGTATTTTTATCCAGCCCAGTATTACTCAGCAGTGAATACCAGGGATTCTTTATCAAGTACAGTTATATAGCCATAATGTATTAAGAAAACATGGAAAATTGTGATATGTAAAGAAAGGAAGTATATTTATGGGCTGCATATGTGCCTCTAGCCAGTAACATTCAGTCAATTCCAAATGCTATTCTCTTTTTTATTATTAAGGACAAAGGAACGATGCAAATGAACTCAGTTGTTTGATCAGTAGGTCTCTAAAATTACTTTAATTCCATGGATGCTAGCTACTAAGAATACATATGTATATTGCTTATTTCACAGAAAAGAGGATATTTTTTTTTTATTCAGCTGTAGCCATGGCTCGTATTTAATGCTTTTGGGCGGAATAACAGATATATAATGGATAGAGCTTCTGAAAATGGTAAGAATTTAAATTGAGCTAGTTTGCCAATATTTATCTGGAATGTGTTTACATTAATCTGCATCAACAATGAGTGTCTGAGCATGTGTAGAGTATCTTCTTATTACCAGGGCTTGGCAGACCTAGAACTTGCAGAGAGGCTGTACTATTGCAGCTGTTTCTTAGATGTCATGGATTCAGTCATGCTAGCTCAGTCATGGCTGGTGTGGAGAATATTGTATGTTTGACTGAGTATGACTGAGAGTTGGCCAGCTGAAAGAATATTTGTAGAAAAGGGAAATGTTTGTGGAAAAGCCATATATGAATCTCTGAAAGTTTAAAATATGTTTAAATGGAGAATATGTAATGGCTGAACTTGGTGAAACCACTTTTCTGCTCAGTTTATTTTAAACAAAAACCTTCACAATTGGATTATAAATATGACTTTTTTAGTGAACAAGGCCCAGTTACAATGTGTTACCCTTAAATTCAACAGTGCCTATCCAAACGAAGTGCATGGACTGCTTATGAGTGATCCCTGATTGGTGATGTCATCTCTGCCTTGACCAGGGGGAAAGATTTTCTATCACAGCACACTAACATCATTTCCTCCTGAACCTGCTGTTACTGTTAAAACTGGCTGGATAAATGGAGCAAGAGTGCTTGGCTCTTGTTGCTGCCTGTGTTCAAACTTCTCAATTGCTAGTGCAACAATGGATGCTGAACAGGCGTACTGTGATATTTGCAATAGCAAGGATTCTTCAGCGGAGGCACTTTCGCCGATCAGCTGCAGTGCTGAGGCGCATCCTCTCAGCTAGCGTTCGTCGTAAGAGAGCCTTG